CCGAGAAAATCTAAACTAGATCGAGTTTTACTTGTTTTGGCAGGTTCTTATCCGTTTCGACTCATCGGTTTAGCTTGATTATTAAATCACTTCCTAATATGGTGCATATGTTGATTTTACAATAAGTTATTATTCAAAATAATTAGTTTATTAATTATCGACTTAAATAATTCAGTGATCATCTCTTTTCGTTGAAAGTATGAGTATGATATATGGATAATGTGAGATAAGTGATATGAGATGATTGTTTTCCATTGTGTAACCAAAAAAAAAAAAAAATTAGTTCATTATGAAAAAATTAAGTGTTATCTTTTAAACTAAGTGTAAAATTTATCAAGTCAATATAATAAAAAAATGTGCTTTAATATCATAAAATATCTTAGAGGTAGCCTAATTATTCATATAAAAAAAAACCCAATTCATCTTTTATAACCAATTATTTATTACTTCAATTTTTGTACCTAAAAGTTTATTTTCTATGGCTAACCGGATAAAGAAAAATGTTGACTTTCTTCATATTCTTCGATGGAAGGGGTAGCCAAATACACGCGTACTGGTGCCTTGTATTCCCTTTATTGTTGCTTACACCAGATACAAATATTGTGAGGCTGTAAGAAGTGGGCGGGCGGGTTGTCGCCACCCACTCAATTTATTAAGGGAATATAAATTTTGTTTAAAAAAAATTAATTTTGTTTAATTTAATTATTAAAAATAATTGATAATTAATAAAATATAATTTATATTTATTATTTAATAAATTAAAATTAATTTATAAATTAATATTTTTAAATATTATAATTATTTATTTAAAAAAATTATAAGTATCAATTAAATTAAATATAATTTAAGTAACCTTAATTATAATCAAAGCAGTAAGAAGCACCATAAAAACAATGATAAACAAGATAAAAAGGTACCTTGTTTGTTTTTTAACAACAGAAGGTGATTGTTAAGTCAAAGTAAATTTACACTTAAAATGATATTAACATACTTTATCATCTTAAATTATTAATTTAAAAATTTTAATTTAAATTTAACTGTCAACTTCAACCCCGTCAGTATCACTCTTTTAAAATCTTATAATGAGACATTATCTGCTAATAACAATTTAATGGATTAAATTAATTACATAAATTTTTATATTTTTTATATAATAAATTAATTAATTATGTAAAAGTGCATATT